TATTCCACTTCAACTCCACGACAATCTATCGAACCAACCTACTCGATTAATCCCTTCGAGAGACAGACAGACAAACACAAAAATATTTATCCGCCTTTCGTTTCGCGAATCGTGTGTCCAAACAAATTTTCCCCAAATTTTCGAGGATATATATATATAAGGGAGAGAGATTTTCGTTTCGGGAGAGTTGGACGCAATGTATACGAATTTCCGTGGACTGGCAGGTGTATATCGCATACACCGCGAAATTTCTTCCCTGGACGCGACATTAACGCGGCATTAATCGTGGCTGCCCCCGAGTCTCGTTGCTGTGTAATCTACGGAGGAGAGAGGAAGGAGGAGAAGGGAAGGGACAGAGAAGCCCGTGTCGCTGTCTTTCCAAGGGACGAGAGGGAGGGGAGACAAGTTTAAAGCTCGATATTAATAGGGGATTACGGGGCGGGTACTCAATTTCCGTGGAGCGGTGTCGTTTCCGAAAACTTTGTGACACGAATATTAACGAAAGCTCGCATCGATAGGTCGAGTCTTAAACACCGTTTCAATTAGAGGGATCGTCGTTGCTTTCGTTCGTTTTAACGAACCAGATGGACAGATTGAATAATACGTACGATATTAACCGAAACGCCCATTAATTGACCGGGCAAGTTTGTGTATTTGGGTGGTCGCGTCGAGTGTCGTTCGATCGAACGAACGAAGGAGGCGGGCTAATTCGATCGATCGAAATTTGATTTGAAGAGTAAGAATATTTTGTGATCGTATCCTATTCTATTCTCGGAGGTGTTAAAACGATTGGAATTGTCGCAAGAATTCTATTGAAGTTGAATCGTTTCGATGATTTCGGATTCCTTGGTTACGTTACAGCGGAAAATCGAAGCGTTCCTCGAGCCATCAGGGGACTCATTGTTTCCCCAAGCAAACAATTAAGTCGCAACACACACACACACACACAATTAACGAAAAGTTGCAATACGTGGATTTGTCGTCGTGGCGAATCTATGGTGGAGGAAACGCGATGTTCGTTAGCGCTCGCATTGTCTTTTCGAGAGAAAACACCGTCGAAATGGTGGTGGGTGTGGAAGGAGAGGAACTGGATCAAGCGTGGAATCGTTAAATCGGTCGGTTCACACCGTATCGTGGTCACAGTGAAACGGAGCAGATTGACAACGCACGGAGATTGTTTGACGAGTAGTCGATTAGATTGGAGTTGGCCGGCCGGGTTGTGTTCCACCGCGCTCGATTCACCGATGCATCCCCCGAAAATGCATTCAACCGTCGTTAAGGCAGCCACACTCGTGCCGCATGTTTGATTCAGCCAATTCGAGTTTGCCCTTCCCTCCCACCTTTCCCGTGCACACGCAACAAACCAGTTGCATACGAATGCGAGGCTCGTGCGAGCACGACGCGTCTTCCACACGAAACTCTCCTAATTTCTTCTTTCTTCCCCTCTTTCCTTTACTTGGACAATTATTTTTTAAACCGTTCGAACCGTTCCTTGTCCTTGTAATTCCTTTTCTTTTCTTTTTACTTTTCCTTGGAAATAGATAGAAAGATTTGCTACGCGTTTATAACAGGATAATATAACATCGCATCGTTTTTACGAGGAAATTTTAATCCTAGAAATTGAATTGTTTAAATTTTAACGCGAATCGAACGCGGCGAATTTGGACGTTGTTGGTCCGGAAATTCGAGACGCGATAACGCGTTTAATAACCGGTGTCCAGTGGCCGAACGAGTGACGGGTATTAGCGTAGTTATCGGAGTTTAGGATTAGTTGGGACGCGCGTGGGAAGTTGGCCAAAATTTCGAAACTCGTGCTTCGTCAATGGCTAACGATGATTTGTGCCGAGCACTCCCCGATGACTGTGGAGGGACGACGTATACGGACCCTTTAACTGATTAGAAGCGCATTCACGTGGCTAAGGTCGGCGGGATTACTCTCGACGAATCGACGACGCTCCTCGTTACGTATGCTCCGTTTCCTTCTATCCTCGCCTAATCTCTCTCCCGGGGAGGGGAGAATCCTGCGAAATGTCGCTGCCTTTCTTTCGCCCGACGATTTTTGTATCTCGGTCACGTAAACGGCATAACGGATCGCCGTTCATCGAGACGATTCCCTTTTGTGCTCGAGTTCGAGTCGAAAAGAAAGGAAAAAAGAAAGGATGGACGATATCGTGAATTTGATCGTATCGTAAAATTTAAGGGAAGAAAAATAATAAAAGCGGTAAACAAGGAACGATTCGCGTATAAATCGCGTATCCCCGAAACGGGAAACGGACTCATTTTTCGCTCGACCGAGCGACGAAATGACGCGAAAGTTTTCGATACCGATCCGCTCCAATCCGAAAAGGAACCGATTCTGTGAACCGTATCTAGCAAAAGTCATCGTCCGTTCCGTGATGTAACAAATTGCTTCGTTCGCCCCTTCGAAATCCCTTCGACGACGCTCGATCGATGCGAGAATGACTTTTTCTCGAAGATTGCCGTGTTTTTTCATCAAGAAAAAAAGAACAGCGTAAACGAATAGCGCATTTAAATTATGGGAAACTGCGGGTATGCTCGAAGCGCTAGTAGGACTATCGATCACAACGTCCACCCCCGTCCGTTCTTTATTCTCTCGACAAATGAGATTCATTATGACTGCTCGCACGCGTCACTCACTGTTAAAAACAAAAGAGAAAAAGAAGAGAGGGGAGGAGGGCATTTTATTTATTAACGCCTGGGGCGGGCGAACCGGATTACGCGTAATTTTTATCGAGCCTTCATTCTCACGTGGCTCCAGTATCCGTTTCTCCGCTACTCTCGATTACCTCGTGAATTCTCCCTCTGGAAAACCGCGTAATTTCCTGCATTGTCCATTGCCGACATCGTTTCCAAACGCCGACCCGTTTCAAGCCTAACTTAATTAATTAATCGGGATAGATGGAACAGATGATGGAGGGAGCGAGAGACTGCGAGAGAAAAAAGTAAGAAAGAAGTTGAGCGGGGACAATTTAGAAACTTTCGTTTTAAAACTTGGCCACGATGCATGACGGAATTAATCGAGGATCCCATCCTTCATTATTCTCCGCCTTCTTACCCGCCAATCGCCGCGCCGTCGAGTTTTTAATTGTACAGATAGTCGTTCGACAACGTCGTTAACGAAAGTAGTAGACGAAACACAATTTTTCGAGGGGGCGGGGCGGGGGAAGAAGCCTCGTTCGTCATCGTCGCTTAGCGAAGAGAGAGAGAGAGAGAGAGAGAGAGAGAGAGAGAGAGAGAGAGAGAGAGAGAGAGAGAGAGAGAGAGTAGTAGTAGTAGTAGTAGTAGTAGTAGTAGTAGTAGTAGTAGTAGTAGTAGTAGTAGTAGTAGTAGTAGTAGTAGTAGTAGTAGTAGTAGTAGTTGTAGTAGTAGTAGTAGTAATAGTAGTAGTAGTAGTAGTAGTAGTAGTAGTAGTAGTAGTAGCAGTAGTAATAGTAGTAGTGATAGTAATAGTAGTAGTAGTAGTAATAATGATAAATAATAATAATAATAATAATAATAATAATAATAATAATAATAATAATAAAGATAATACTACTAATAATGCTAATAACAAATTTGATTAAAGACAGTTTACAATAAACGTATAATATTACATATGCAGGATATATTAAAATTTTATAATGATTTAAAATAAATATTAAATGTAATAAAAATGTAAAAATATAAATGTATATAATAAATATTTTCTTTTCTTTATAAAATTAAAATATAAAAAATTTTAAGCAAATCATTTATATTTTGCTAAAAAATTATAAAATTGTATAAAATTGCATTTAAATATCCTGCATAATGTATCATATCTCTACGAAAATACACGCATATACGAAAATACATGCTCGCGCGAACTTCAACAGTTGATTAAAATTTCGATTCAATTGTGGAGATACTAAATCTCGTAGAGACATTAGATACCAATAAAATATTTTTTTTTAAAAATTAAAATTTCGTTTTGAAATTAATCTTCACAGTATTTTATATATGCTCTTCTATTTTTTTATCTTTTTTTATTTTGCACTCGTAAATGAAATATAAGGAATATAATATATGTGTGTATATATATACACACATATATATGTTGAAAGTTACTATAATCCAATTTTGCATTAACAAATATATAAATCATTAAAGCCTTCTTGCACAAAAAGTTATTAATTATTAATATTATTAAGTAAAATAAAATATAACAAATATTAAATCATATATATATATGAAAAATTGTTTGTGCAACAAAAATCATATATATATATATACAATTCTTAAATTTAACATCGAATAGAACGATTATTTAATTTGCAATTAAAAAAATATATTTGTAATTCTTAATTTGTTATTATTATGCATACAAAAAAACATAAATAAGTTATAAAATTTCGTTATTAATATTAATTAGATTATGCAAGATGGCTAAAAATATATATGAAATTTAAAAAATAGAAAGAGCAATATATATATTCATAAATACATATAATCCCAAATTATAGTTAATAATTAATTTGTTGTCTTACACAATAGCTGTATTGAATATTAAAAAAACGTTTATTACTAAAAACAATTATTATGCATTGATCAATATTAAAAAGCACAATTATAACTTAAAAAATGAACGGTTAAAATATATAAATAAATATAAATTAACAACAATTACTAAATAAATCTGAAGTGAATACAATAATATCACTAATAGATATAAAGGAGCTGCCAAATTACATAAAATTGATTCAAAGCCTACTTAGGCCAAGTTTTATAAAATACTATAAAAAATGTTTTCTTGAAAAGTACTAAAATCATAATTATTGTATAATAATCTAGCAAAAACGAGTTAAAATGCCATTGTACCAGAGACATTAAAAAACAATGACTTAAAGAAAAATGATAAATAAAATAAAATAATATTTTTGTGCAAACAATAAAATATTTTTTTATCACAATCAAACCAGATTGATAATCCAGAGACTACTTGGAAAATGGGTCCCTAATTCTGTTATTTTGCTATTTTATACGTCTTTTTTCTCAATTCTATATATCTATTATGTTTTTTGTTCTACTTTGATTATAAATGCTACAATCGCGCATAGTAATATTGTCTCTATGGTATGCAATGTAAAGTTCTCGTTTTTCCTTTCGTTTGTCTACCTAAAAACAATACATGTTCATTTTATCATGCATCTCATTAATACAACAAAATTGGTATGTCATCATAATTACTATGTAACTATATAAATTATTCATGCGAAATTATTTACGATATAATAATAATACTCAATCATACCGAAAATAAATCTAGCTACAAAAGGAAAATATACGATTGTTATAAAATGTAAAAATAAACACATTTACAATTCAGATATATTTTCTTATAAAAGAAAATAATCGATTATAAAAATCAATTTTATTAAATATCAATAAGCGTGCTATATGAGAATCTTTGATAGATTCTTTGTGAATAAATCTTCAAACATAGAAAATTTTAGCAACTTTGCAACAATGTCGCATGAAATAAAAATTTTGCATAACAAAAACACATTCTATGTTTGTTAGACATCTTTACTAACAATATTGGTAACAGAAGGCAGAGTTTTCTATGAATTTCTACGATATGGAGCAATATCGATATAAGAACATATGAACATTTCAGAATTTTTCAAATGTTCTGCTTTTTGTCATTTGTAACGCACATTTATAAAAATTGTTCTTCATAACGAGAATAATTTTTCATCAACTTCAGCTTTCAACTTTATCAAATAAAGTCAAATTGTGAAAAAATAACTCATGATATAATATAAAAACATATTATATCATGAGTTTATTTTTTGTTGATAACAAATTAACGGATGAAAATATAATGCTAAAGCATTTTTGTCATTCTTATAAAAAGCATTTTCAAAAGATATAATTAATTTTTTGTAGCAATATAATTCAATAATGAATAGTAATAGATTAAAATATTTAAAATTCTGGTTTTTCTCAGAATAATTTGCTCCACATCTTCATCATTTTCTAGAAAAATTCTCTGCCTAAATGAGGACGGTTTGTCTGTTGCGACATTCGCATTCTACCTCGGCCACTTGTACTAGTAGCATGTCTTCGAGTATTTCGTAATTCTCTATCGACCTCTAGCTCTTCCAATTTCATAGTTAAAACAAGTTTTTGTTGTACCGCTAATCTTAATAATGAGTTTAATGTTTTTCTATCATCTTCTGCTGCGGCTAATTGACGTTGCAGCTCATCAACTTGTGTTACGTATTCTTCACAACGTGCAGCAAACATCGCACGTAAACCTGAGAAGTGGTTAGCAGGTATTAACACCAAATAGAAAGAAGCTCATGAAAAGAAATATCAGAAACATGATAGAAAATTAAGAAATATATTAGTCATATAAAAAGAAAAATTTTTTCTAAAAAAGAATATAAAGAATATATCATATGTTTATAAAAATAATTTCAGTAAAAAAAAAGCGCAGAAAGAAAACTATTTTTATAGATATATCGCTCTGTTATTAAATATAATAAATATGATAGTATGTATTATTTACATATGTTAATATATTTTATTATGAAATGAAGCAATATTGTTGATAACAAATTCCTAATGCAATTGCAAAATCAAATGTAATACAACTCATTATAAGCAATAAAATATACATAAATGCTGATAATAATTAGTTTTAATAATATTAGTTAATAAGTTAATATAAAAATGTTAGTAACAAAAACAGAAAAAAGGGATATATTAACTATACTTTTAAGTATCATCTTAATATATTACTATTATAAACATATTGTTAAAAATTTGAATAAACTTTTCAATCACTTACTTGAAAATGTTGCAGCATTTTCTTTTAACATCCTAAGTTCATTTCTTAATTTTAACATAGTTTCATTAACAATGCTTTTTTCGTTTTCATATTTGCTCTTCAAGTTTGTAAGTGCTACTTCCGCAGTATTTTTATTCGATTTAAGCACTGTTCTTAAAGTTGCAATTTGCTCGCGTTTAGCTGAGAGCAAGGCTTTCAATCTAATTACTTGTTCTTGCAAATCTGCTACTTCCACCTTATTTTCATTTACTGATCCTGTAATTTGTAATAATCGTATTAATGAGAAGAGAAATTGTTACAAGTAAAAAATTGTTACAAGGAAAAAAATTATGCAACTTACCTTCACAAACGTTGCAGACATTCGATTGCATTCCTTTAACTTTAGAAAGTTCAATTGTATGCTCTACAGCACTTCGAAGATGTTTTATTTGATCTATCGCGGTTTCTATATGTTTCGCAATTTCTTTTGCTTTACTCAAACTTTCTAAATCTTTAATTTGGATGTCGGTTTTAAATAAAGTCCGACACCATTCTATTTTTCCATTTTCTTCCTCCTTTTCGGGAACAATCTTTTCATGATCGAGGACTACCCTTGAAGGAATTTCTCCGTTAACTGTACAAACATGATGATAAAGTTGTGCAAGTTCATCAGAGATATTTTGCAAATCATTTTGTGCAGAATCCAGAAAACCACCGGCTTCTACTGCAAGTTTTGAAAGGATAGAAATGTCGGATTCAAGTTGTATGCTTCTTTGTTCTGTATCTAAAAGCTGAAATATAATAAATAATTTTATATTCATATTAACTTTATTTTTGGAAATTAATTATTTCTATTATTTGTTACATATTTACTATAAATTTATATAAAATTTTTTTTTTCAACAAACTACTAAAATATAATCTACAACTTAAAATAAGAAAAAATATTGTATAAAGTTTAGTTTATAATAAAAATAGTAAATAAAGTTGTTTTTTGAGCAAATATATATATATATATATATATATATATATAATAAACAACAATAATAAATAATAA